TTTTAATAAGAAGTTGAAAATATCACTTTTTACCAAAAATTACAAAAATATTCACCAAAATTAGAGAATTAAAGATATCATTACAAAATGAACAAATCTGAGAGAGGTCCACATGTAGTACCTATATATGTAATATCAAAGCAATTGGGCTTGCGGTTTATAACAAGAAGTCGAAAATATCACTTTTTACCAAAAATGACAAAAATATTCACCAAGATTAGAGAATTGAAGATATGATCATGAAATGAACAAATCTGAGAGAGGTCTACCCAAGGTACAAATACACCAAGTATCAAAGCATTCAGGCTTGTAGTTTTCAAGAAGAAGTCAAAAAAGTAAAACATTGACACAGACGACAGACGGCGGACAATCACTCCTATGATAAGCTCCGCTCGACAAAGTCGACAGCGGAGCTAAAAATCTAGTAAAGGAAAGATAAAAGATATCCTGCATATAAAGCAAATATTGCATTTGTTGCATACTGAATCATTCAATTATGACCTATTTTGACCACAAAAACAACTCTCTTTTACAGTACATAAGCACATGTGCTTCTAAACAAAATGCCGGGGATTGATTTCAGAGTTGGGAGAGCACAAATTTGCAAGGCCAAAATAAATGAAATTGCCTTAGCTCAGAGAAATAATATTGAAAATATCAAAGAACACCAAGGCAAACACAGTGAACATCAAGCCAATTGCTATAAAAGTTCAAGCCCTTGAAATACAAAATACAAATATATTTAAAATACAATATACACAACTTTTTAGTGAAAAGTTGAGAATGAAAATAAGATTTTCAGATTCTAAATCATTCTTTCATTGCTGGAGCTTTTCATAATTTACAGAGTGTTTTTTATCCTTTATGGGCTCCCCTATTACTGAAATGGCCAACTCAATCTCTGTCTGTGGTAGTAATAAAGTTTAACACCTAAATAACATCAATGAATATACTAACTGATTTTTTCTCCAGATTTTTCTTTCTTTTTTCTGGCAGCTAGTGCAGAATTACTCAACGACAAGGCATCTTTGACGTATGGAATTTCTAACATTTGTCTGCATGAAAGTGAGAAAACATCACACATTAATTGTTAACGGACAGTGGTCATTGTGCAACTTGCATTGGAATCTTGTGTCAACATATATTCATTTTACATGGGTGATATACATTGCATATCCCATATCAAACACAGTGTATCAATGTATCAATATATACTGTAGAACATGTTTTTTTGCCAGCATGTTTTTTTTGGCGAGAGAACTGATTCGCTAATTCAAGATGTCGCTACCGGTAATGACTTTAGCGCTTCCTAATTACACTTGACAGTTTTTCTTTGTTTTTATGGGGGTGATAACTGCGCATTTGTTTTGGCACATGACAGACAAGTATTATGAAAAAAGGAAATCAACAATGACAAGAGAGATTCGCTAAATCAACATTTCGCTATTACGTCATTTTACTACAATTCGCTAAAATTGCATGTTGCTTTTTCAACATGTTTTACAGTAATGTAGTGACAAGCACCAACATCATAGTTCTGCAACATCATAGTGATGTAATGAAAAACAAACCTGAGTTTAAAATGTATTCAAAATCAATATGACATTCATGATTAAAGATTTTGAAGTATGATAATTTTATATTATACACTGTTTTGCTCTATTGAAAAACACAGATTTTGAATTTTGATAAATTTTATATTACCGGTAAACACGTTTTTTGCTCTATTGAAAAACACAGATTTTGAATTTTGATAAATTTTATATTAAACACCGTTTTTGCTCTATTGAAAAACATTCTCCGATAGAAACACATATAAACCAAAATTTGCATTTGTTGTATACTGAAACATTAACATATTACATTGTACTTATTTTGACAACAGAAACTTATTGTTATTATTATTGTTTATGTTATGTCATGAGGGTTATATGTCAATATTGAAAATCACTTAAGGGAAAGAATTTTGTTACATCTATCTGCACATCAATTTTACAACTATTTCCAAAGGTCCATACCAACAAGATTCACATACCGGTAAGCATAAGCGCTACTAAAAAGGCAAATATGACACAATGTATGACCACCCCGAACAAGATACATATTTTTGTGTATAATAAGTCAGTATAAATATTGAAATTTTATGGAAGTGAAAATTTTAATCTATTAAATCTTCCTTTAATCCACCCTTAAATTGGTTGACAGTAATCATGAATCTAGTTGAAATCGTCTGTGGAGGGAAAAATATATCAGGACATTTCTGAAGATGAATGAAATGGAAGCATTGCTACTCACAGCACAGATGGTCTCTGTTCGAAGTTCTTTCTAAGCATAGTACGAATCATCTGACATAGATCAGCTGAATAATTCTGCAAAATGAAATAAATTTAATGAAACGATAGCTTTAACAGACTATAGTCCATTTTCATCAGTCAATGATGACATGAGTTTAAAGACTGTGGTTCATTATTGTCAAATGAACTTTAATACATACTGTACAGAACATTAGCATACTACAAAAAACTCTTAAAGAATCTTGTCAGCTGCTCTTTTAATACAACAGAAGGATGTTTTAAAATACCAGCTATTTTTATCATAAGAGAAAAGCTGTAATATTCCTTACCTTGGCAACATCTTCTAATATTTCTTCCAGTACCTGTGGTGACTGTTTGATTTGGTATAATACTGCCTGGATCTCTGGAGTCTAGATGAAACAAAACAGAATTGAATAATGATATTAGTGACATACCACCTGACATACATGAACTCAAAATAAAGGTAACCATTCCCAATGTAATGACCAAAAACAGCGGCAAGATGGTAAACAACACAGACAGATGACCACAGACAGACCATTGAAACCCATATACTTGCATACATCACACCACAGGTAGCCATTCCTAATGTTATACATTTCAATGACCAAAACACATAATGTAATGCAAGAGAGTAAACTACATCGACAGACGACCACACAGACAGACCACTGCAACCCACCATGATAAACAAAACAGACAGGTGACCACAGACAGACCACTGAAACCAATATACTTGCATCCATCACAGCACAGGTAGCCATTTCTAACGTTATACATTTCAATGACCAAAGAATATAATGTAATGCAAGATGGTAAACTACATCGACAGACGACCACACAGACAGACCACTGCAACCCACCATAGGTAGCCATTTTTATGCAATACATCCTAACGACCAAACAATATAAACAACAGCTGCAGTTGATAACCACAGACCATTCTACCCATACACTTACATCCATTAAACCACAGGTAGCCATTTCTAATGTAATACATCCCAATGACCAAACAATATAAACAACAGCTGCAGTTGATAACCACAGACCATTCTACCCATATACTTACATCCATTAAACCACAGGTAGCCATTTCTAATGTAATACATCCCAATGACCAAACAATATAAACAACAGCTGCAGTTGATAACCACAGACCATTCTACCCATATACTTACATCCATTAAACCACAGGTAGCCATTTCTAATGTAATACATCCCAATGACCAAACATCACTTCTCTCATCATATGCCTTCTCCATCACTTCAGGTGCCATCCAGATCATTGAACCTAGTAAAACAAGATTGTTTTCATTAGAGGGGAAGTCAAGGCAAACAACATAATGATGAATGAAAGCGCTCCACAAATGTAGGAGAATTTAATTTACAGTTTTTTATATTACTTTTCATACTCTAGATATTCAACTTTTCATCAGTATTATGTAGTCCATTATCTTGATTCTCCGGCAAAGGATTATGGGTAAAGTATGACATCATAACCACTGTTGTGAAAAGTTGAGAAAACTTGCATATTAAACCATGACCTGATTCATGTACACCTGGACACCAGTTGCCAAGCGACCACTATACACGGTTAAATAAAACAAACCTGCATAATTGCATGAAATTAGTTTGGAACGGTCGGTCTGTTTGATTGATTGTGCGTTTGTCCTGCCAGACACCTGGTGCCGTCGATTGCTTGTTGACCGGTATAACTGTAACAACAAACTGGCTACATTTTAAAAACAATCAGCGACGAAAGGGCGGAGGCTAATGAGACAAACCCATTTACTCAAAGGAGTGGTAACTGTAATCTCATTTGTGCCGAACAAAACTGGAATGTGGCACATTCATATAAAAACAAGATTTGGATGGTAACGGTTCGACAATTTTCGAAATATACCTATAACTAAATCCTGTAATAAGCTGGAGCTGCCTAGCACCCCGGTCTGGCAACCTAGTCTGGCACCCATTTGAGTTCAGGAAGTGGAAGTTTCTCTGAACACGCATTGAGCGTGTACAGTCATCATGTTGTGAAAAGCATTTGTGTGGGTGAAATAGTCCGGGAAATTTTGTTTTAACAAAATAAAGGTGTTTAGAACGACCACCGTTGTCTTTAATCAGCTTCGAAAATTTCTATATTCTATATACTTTGCCTATGAGCAAATTACACCAGCTGACACTAGATCATTCTTCAGTGCAACAGGATATCTGTTCGTTTAGCTCAGAAACTGTACAAAACGGTCTTTTTTAGCGAGTGTAACAGTTTGATTTAGCTGTGAGTCAGTTGCTCTTTTTGTGTCGGCTATTAGTCTTTGTGGTGGTTTTTTAGTTGGTGTCATCAAATTTGTTATTTTCAGACATTACGATTTTTATCGACACAGAAGAGCTATGCCCCCTTATAAACTAGCCTAACACAAATGTGCGTCGCCAACACAACATCTACTGTCACCTATTTATATTACCTGCAGTGGACAGTTGGACGTTATGTTTGCTACAATGTATTTGTTTATCATAAATGTCGACTCAACTAACCAAAACATACCCGTTTACAAAGCCTGTCGCCGACACTGGGACACGTTTCGATCTGATTAATTTCACGCAATTGTTTTGTTTGTTGTAGACTACCAGTACGTATTATGTGTTTATTCAATTAAATTTCATAGAAGTTATCTTTTACAGTGCTATAACATACATACACAAATTATTACAATCAATATAACACCAAAATATAGTGACAATTTTGTCAATGAATATAAAGTGAAAATATTATCATGTCTTCCTGGTAATTGAAAGATCTGGAGTTGATGACCATCAAGTGATGAAACTCCTTGTTAGGGGTGCATGGCTTTGAACCCCCACTGGCAGTATTACCGGTAGTAGCAGGAGCTTTTCATCTGAAGAGGAAACTCAAATTGGTCAAGACGCTGGTTGTCAAATAATTAAATAACAATAACAAAACCATGCCAAAGACTTACCGACTGTTGTTCTTGTTTTAGTTCTAGCATCTCCCATAATAGTTGCAACACCAAAGTCACCAATACAGATACTCAAGTCTTCTGTCATGAAAATATTGCTAGGTTTCAAATCTCTGTAAATGGATGAAATTATCAATTGGGACAGACACTTTTAAACTAAGTGATTCTGGTTTGACGTCTAATCATGCTGGCTGAGAGCTTCTACCTATTGCTTTATTTACACTGTACACTGGGCATTGACACTAATACCATGTTCACACATGTGCCACAGAGTCAGCTTGACTAACTTGGTAAACAGTGGTTGTCGGTGGTTTTAATTTGTCATGTGTTCATACATGTACAAAGACTAAACTGATTAATTTCAACCCATGTGTATCCTATCTTATTGTATATGCACATAGAGAAGAATGTAATCTGGATTATACATTTAGTTTGAATAGGAGAGTCATGTATATAATCACATACCTGTGTATAACTTCTTTCTTGTGAACAAATGCAAGAGATTCAACCATCTGGCCAAACCATTTTTTCAAAATCTATCATAAAGAATAATGTCAATGAACAATATGAAATTGCAATTATGGACAATCATCTCCAAATATGTACCAGGTATGCCAAATCTGCCAAAAAAACGTAAGAAAGAAGCAAACAAGAGACAGATCATGAGTTTTTGTTGAATAAACCTGATGCTACAAGAAGCTTATGTGAAATGCTCGTTAATTGTGAAGTACCCTCTCATGGAAGATTGGTTTGGTTCTTGATTACAATGAGGTTTGGCTGTACATAAATTTGTACATTTCCAGATTGCTGATTTATAAATAATAAATAAGGATAAATTGATTGATTTTTTAATTTTTATATTTTAAATTTGTGCCTTCACAGACAATAAAGTACTGCTGTCTCTCCTGAAGTTTTTTTTTTTCTTGGTGCTAATTGGAAGGGAATGTCATTCAGCAGTCATTCATACATACCGGTAATTCTGACAGAGCAGACTGTACTTTCACATATGCCGAGTAAACACTTCCAGTCAGAACCAAGATTCAATCCAAAACCTCCCTGATCTTAAGCAAACACACTCACCACTGTACCATCACCCAATTAATTTTTATTCCTACTAACCAATTCCTCAATGTTTTCTTTCTTCTGTCTTTTCTGTCTCAGTATTTTATCCAAATCACCAAATTTATAATAATCCATGACAATACACACATACATGGCAGACTCCTGAAAACAAACAAGCAGTCAGTTTAGAAATGTTTCTAGTTGAAGCCCAGCATGAGAGAAAACCAGTACAAAATCCGTAATGTAAGAACTGTAACATCCAATGTTCTTACACATGAAGGTTGTACTGGGAGGTGAAAAATCACTATTTGTATAGAGATGGGGGGAGGGGGGGGGGGTATGTCTGACTTTGTCAGATTTCATAATGGTGAAATACTCGAAAAATCAATAAACATTGCAGGGTTATTCACTAAGTTTTGTGAATGAAACAATACATTTCAGGGGTTGAAATTAAAGTTGCCTGTTATATTAAAATGGCTAGAGAATAAAAGTGCCTGTCCTAATTGATGATGTACCTGTCCTTAGCAAGATAAATTATGACATAATATTTGAAATAAAGTTTTCATTCTCGGCTCATCATCTGAGAGAGGTCCACATGTAGTACCTATATATGTAATATCAAAGCAATTGGAAATATCACTTTTTACCAAAAATTACAAAAATATTGAAGACATCATCATCAAATGAACAAATCTAAGAGAGGTCTACCCAGGGTACATGTACACCAAATATCAAAGCATTCAGGCTTGTAGTTTTCAAGAAGAAGTCGAAAAAGTAAAACATTGACACGGACAATCACTCATATGATAAGCTCCGCTCGACAAAGTCTAAAAGCATTTTTCTGGGCATTAAAAATTTTGGACTATCCCATTTGGATGGTTAATATAAATACTTGATATTTTTTTTTCACCTGTCCTGTTCACCTGGTATATTTACTTGTCCCAGTTAAAATCTGTCTGTCTGGGACAGGTGGACAGGCCTTAATTTTGAACACTGCATTGTAAGGTTAAAGGCCCAGGTATACTATAAATACGGTCCTAAACAATAGGGATTATTTCCTTGCTTGTCAAGCTGTAGTAAACAGCTCCAGCCAAGCCCCGGTAATAGCGCGTTTTCTCGAACTTACAGGTCGATTATGTCATGCCAAAGTGGATGCATTCGACAATGAATATCACAGCAGTGACTGTATGTAGTATTTATGACAAAAAATAGTGTACGAGCTGAGATTTTGGCGGATAAAAGTCAAAAACTCGAACCGGGGAAAGGGACACGCTACTAATCTTGAATAATTAAATACCGTCAATCAAAGTCACGTGATGTTGGACCGTTGAAACAGGGTACGTCATAGGCTATGCAAGTTATTAACAACACTCATTAGCATAGTCACACCTCCAATTCACACTTGCCCAGGGCAAGTGAATTGGGCCTTTAACACTGTGTATTCACTGCATTCCATTTTACTACTTTGCTATTAGTGGCATGAGCAAGAAATTAAGCTCTAGATAGTATAGAACAGGTGTAAATCGTAATATACTTGAAGCATTTACCTCTTTGTCCCAAGTTACAAAGAACTCTTTATAGCCACACACATACGGATGTTGTAACTCTTGTAGTGCCATGGCCTGTAAAAAGAATATACTCAGTTACAATGAATTCACTTTAGTGCCATATTGATTAAGAGTTGATTCTGTATGTGATAGCAACTAACATGTATGAGTCATAGCCCAGACAAGTTAATGGTTCCCTGGTAAAACTTAGCTACCACATGTTGAGCGATGTTGAGTAACTTCCAGTCAGTAGAATTATGCAATAACAGGAAAATATTTTTTATACCAGCTTCAGTCTTATATGTTATTCTTAAAAGTTTACGAAAATGTCATAAAATAAAGAAAACATGTTTATACCCACACAATCAAGTTGGATATTTCAGGGGACAACATATATCTACTGCAAAATTTTACAAGCCATAAATCAATGGAGAAAGTTATTTTAGGAGCCTAGCCTTATTGCAATATTAAGCAAGTTCAGATCCCATGTATATTGGCTGATAATGTAATGAATGCAATGGCATCACAAATATGGGGAAAAAGTATATTAACAATTAATTTTGAGTGAAACATTAAAGTTATTTGAGCAGTGGAACTTAGTTTGTTTTGGCAACTGGCTTGTTTACAGAAACGATTGAACATACAGGGTAGGTGGGATTGAATATTTTGCTCACAAAAACCATGCATCGTTTAAAACAAAATCAGAATATCAATAGTTTTATATTTAGAAATTTGAATAATTCCCAACAAAATAAAGTTGAAACAGACATTTCAATACTTTTATGTATATGTACATGAAGAATATTCAGAATGAAGTGAAATTTTAAGATTTGTATTGTGGTGTCTAGACCTATTGTTCACTTAAGTGCATGTGAATGGAGTTCTTACATGGTTGCCTATCGGCTTAGATTACAATGAATGTCATAATGTACCTTGTACCAATTCAATTTCTAGTTAATTGCTGGAAGAAAAGTGGGATACGAGCCAGCACTGCAATACAATGTGACATGCTAAATTTTGATACATTATTCCACAGCTCTATCTAGGAATTTTAATCAATTTTGGTCATAATTGTCCACTTGCATTGTAGGTTCAGGAGGTAAGTAAGATATATAAAACAATGGGTGCACTAGATTTATCAAATATTTGCTATCATGACACCAACATTTGACACAATAAATGGTCTTGTAAGTAGATTCATGGTACTGTTCTAATAGTGTGAATAGAGTAAATATTTTGGTCACTTTATACAATTTGTACATTAGGGATATATAATTGGCAAATAGGTTTTCCTAAGAAATGTCAAAATGTAATACATGTACTTGCCTCTTTAAAAGCTTTATTTGCTTCCCCTTCATCATTGCATTCAACCTATGAGATAAAGCAATTACTGTAAAATGACTAATTTTCACTGGGTTTAAATTTCACTGATTTACCATTTCAGGCATATTCAGTGGGTTTTAAATTCATGGTTTTATTATTTAGATAATATGTTTTATGCTAAATTTTACATATTCACTGGGTTTTAATTTAGCGCATTTTCCAGTCAGCGAAATAAGCCAAATTAAAACCCAGTGAATAATTAA